GGGCAACAGCGCAAAACAGACGGAGGGAGGGTGGAGGTATTCCGTCGAAGCACTGACCCTACTCCATCTTACGCTTTGCCCTCTATTGCGCCACCACCACCACCACCATCACCACCACCATCACCACCACCATCACCACCACCATCACCACCTGCTGCCGCTGCTGTTGCTGCTGTTGCTGCTGCTGCTGCTGGCGCCTGTAAGTCCGCAACCGGTCTGTCAAAGCTGCTGCAATGGCCCGTCTTTCCCATCTCAGTAGATGTGACGGCAATTACATCGCATCCGAGCGGTTTTCCCCTCCCTACTGCGTTTCTCTCATTCGCGGTTCGTCTCCACACACATCCCCGCCTAACTCCACCACCGTCGTTTGTGGTTCATCTCCACCACCCCCCCGCCGCCTGACTTCGGAACTCCCCGACATCCACAGCGCTCGGGATGGGCTGCCGCCAATGGTGCTGCTGCTACTGCTGCTACCGCTGCTACACCTGCCTCCGGCTCTGGCGTTGCGATGCGAGCGTACGGTTCCCCCCACCCATGGGCCGCAGCAGCTGGACACGGTTCCGGAGCCTCAGCCGCTTTGAAAACCCCCTCGACATCACCTCCTCCTCCCTCCTCCTCCTCCTCCTTCGCTGCCACCGCCACTGCCACCGCCGCACGACATCGGCAGCCACATCATGGTCCTTCCGTCCTTGAGCGGTGGGCCGCAGCTAACCTGGTCGTTGTTACGGCATCATCGTTGACGTATCCGTTGGACGTTGTACGGAAGCGGTTGGTGGCGGATACGGCGCTGGGGCCGGGGCGGCAGCAGTACAAGGGCTTCTTCGATTGCGTCTTCAAAATGGCGAGGACGGAAGGTGAGGTGGGGTCTGGGGTAACGATTGGTGGGGCTCGTGTACAGCTCCGATTAGAGGTCGTAGCTAGTCAGGATGGCCACTTAACTAACTTAACTGACTTTGTCATCCTCCATCCGTACGAAGGATTTATTTCAGCCGATCACCGCAACCAGCCATTGCTGGTCCGCACGTCTCATTTATGTCTCATGCCGTACCGTACTACCGCATCTGCTCTTACCGAGCGACATGCTAGGTCTCGGCGGCTTCTACCGCTTCTATGCGTACGACATGATGCTGCGTCTGGGCGGCGGGGTCCTGCTCGTACTGTACGACGAGCTTAAGGCCCGAGGGCCTGCGTCGGTCGCGCATCAAATGCTCAGTCTGCTGCCCCAAACCGACCGTGAGGAGGAGCAGCAGCAGGAGCCGACGCGGCGGTAGCAAGATGGCCAGATACACGCCGTACGACAGAAAGCCCCTTTCGCGGACTCTAGGGTAGGTAGGGGTTAGCTAACCTGGTACGGAGAGCACACGCAAACCTCCGGACCGTGTAAAATATACGCACCTACGTACACACAACGTGGCGACGTGGCAACGAGTCTTAGACAGGGTTTCGGAGGAGGGGAGCTTGGATGGGGGAGGGTGCTGGGAGATGCAGCGGCGATGGGACTCCTTGTTGGGGCAGTCATTCAGTGTTGGGGGATGGGCAGTGGATGTTTAAATTAGCGCTGGAAGAGTTATAATACCTCATATTGTGGGCTGCTGCGAAGAGTGGAAGCACCACGGCTGGAAGAGGGCCCCCTGGGGCGCTTTTCCTCCCCATCCTCAACAACAAAGGGATGGCATGTCATATAAGCAGTAAACGTGAGGAGCAGTAGCAGCAATAGCAGCAGTAGCAGTAGCAGTTGCAGTTGCAGCAGTAGCAGTAGCAGTTGCAGCAGTTGTAATTCAGCAAGGGTGTGTGTAGTGGTCTCGTGTGCAGGAGAGGAGGAAGGGATGAGCGGGCGGCGGGGTCTTCTTCAGTGGGAACAGATGCTGCTTTCAGCATTCCTGCAATGACAATCAGAGGAGTGCGTGTCTGTGTGTCTATGTGTATGTGTATGTGTATGTGTATGTGTATGTGTGTCTGTGTGTGTCTCTGTCAGAGAGAGAGGGAGACAGAGAGACAGAGAGAGAAACAGAGAGAGAGAGAGGGAGAAGGACGCGCGCAGAGAGATGCGGAGAGGCGGAGCTGTGTGGCCAGGTGGCCGCCGTGGAGCCTTTCAGGGCTGTGCTTTTTATGGTGTTCCTTGTTGGCTGGTGGTGGTGGACTGGTGGGTGCTAGAGTGGGGTCGTTGCAGCTCCTCCGCAGTTGCTGGTGTTGCCCCGTAGGTTGCGTTGGTTGTGTGTGTTTGTAGGGAGCAGGGCAAGCTCACAGCAGCGGTTTCGTTTTTTCTCAGCACTGGCTGTGTTGTCAGTGTGTCGCTCTGAGGCCCACGTATCCTCGAAATCCCTTGTGCTTCTTGCCGTTGTGCGTCCCCCCCCCGCACATCCCCCTTTGGTTTCATCGTTGCCACCATCGCCTTCCCAGCTCTCCTGTTATCGCATCACGTCATCGCGTCGCGTCATCGGGGGTCTTATTAAGTCGTCGGTCCGGGGCCAGCAGTCGGAGTCATGACAGAGGTCACAAGTTTTCTCGCCGTTTTGGTTGGCATAAAACAATTCCTCTGTCGTCATATTCCGACACGTGTAGACTCCAACCCCACGGCACGACATCGCTCGCAGTGCGCGGCCAGCACCCGTCACGGTCGCCAGGGGGGTTTCATTCCCATTCATGGTGTTGTACGGCTCTCTGCGGGGCTACAGTCTGAGTCTTAGGTGTTGCAGGAGTTCCGTTGCCGCATGCGATTGCAGGTTAACTGAAGGAAGATTTAACCGAACAAAAACCACCAACTGACAACTTGGCTAGTGTGAGTAACTTGTGTTTTTACCCTAAGCATGTCGTATATGCCGGGGGGCATACCAGCACCAGGGGGTCGTTCGCATGCTGTGTGAGGTGTGAGACGGCCGCACTGGAAAAATGTGGAGTCCTGGCATGGCGACATTATCCGGGGCGAGCGGTAGGAGGAGTTTAGGGTAGCATGGGCAAGCAGGGTATGGTCGCGTGCTGTGTATGCTGCGCATCCCGAATTATTCCTTGTGGTTACAATGTCCTGATGCACGTGCGGTGGTATGCTTGGATTCACGCTGCCTCGCGGTGGTTTGCGCGGTTTTATGTACAGCATGGATAAAATATTTAGTTTTCGAACAGTCATAAAGATGATGTCTAAGATGTGTGTCGGGTTTTCGGTAACAGGGAAGGTTGGGAAGCAGGTGCTTTGGTTTGTATTGGATGTGTAAACGCCCGGGGGC